TAACACCTTAAATCTGACATGGTAGCCATCAGGAAGTCAGTACAGAACAGCCAGGATTGGGAAAACATTGTCAAATCTCTTAGCCCCTGAATTTAAGCTGGCTGCCACATTCTAGACTTGTTATAGCTTCTGTATAATCCTTAAAGGAAGCCCCACGCAGAGACCATTCCAGTAGTCAGTTCTAAAGATTACCAATGCAAGGATCAAGGTCTTCAGGGATCTCTCATCCAGGAAGGGGCACAACTGGGGAATCCGAGATGAAAGAAGGTGGTTTTGGTAACAATCAAACCCCCTAGATGCTCCTCAGCAATCAATGTTGGAGACTTACTCTCTGTCAAAGCTCAATTAGCACAGCAAAAATTTCTGTTCAGTCATAATACTTATTCTGCTTCACTATGTGTCCTACCAATCCTGCCTCAAAGAGACAAGCTATGATACAACTGCCCCATTTAATTGAGTTTATTATCACTTTACTTTTGATATCTCCGTAGTGAACTGTGAGGAAGAATTATGCTTATACAATTCATGTGCACTTTAAGAGATTGACATACTGCACATTATGATCATTTTTTTTCTGGTAAGCTTTTTACCATCTTTGGAAAATTGCTCCATTAGCAACTTATCTTTTAACTAGCTGCTGGTTTTTAATTGTTTTTTCCCTCTTCCCTTCCAGCTTTCATATTCCTTGTTTTTACATTGCTGCCTTGAGATCTCTCGAAGAGAAAGGCAGGGGTATGTATGTATGTATGTATGTATGTATGTATGTATGTATGTATGTATGTATGTATGAATGAATGAATGAATGAATGAATGAATGGTTGCCTTGATATCCCTGAAGAAAAGGTGCAAATGTGATAAACACAGGCCAGATCCTTGACGATTTTTTAACAGAGCTCAGCTAACTAATTCATCCAATCTAAGGATTTAGTGTAACACAGTGCTTAACATACTGAGCTAAACCAGGAAAATCTGAACGTTATTTGTGCTGCAAACTCACCATTCACAAAACAGCCTGAGGATATCAGAAGTTTTTCAGAAGTGGTAGCCAGGATAGTCTGTGCTATCATCAGGCAAAACCAGAAGAAAGAATACCTGCTGCCTACATTGTAGAGCTGGTAGTGCTCAGCGAAGAGTATTAAATAAGCCTGCGAATCAAATCTCAAAATCTCTTCCTACTTATTGTTACTTCTGTAATGCGCCATTCTGGCTCCAGCATATGGCAATCCTATGAATTAATGACCTCCAACCTAGCTTGCCTCTCAAAAGTAGAAGCCCTACAGCTCCACCAAAATATTTCAGCTCAAGCACAGATCGGATTTGGACTGGAACACGTTTCCCCAGTCCTACTCAGACTAGGGCTCACAAATGAAAACTTGCAACCTCCTTTACTGAGCCAATCCATCTCATGTCCGGTCTTTTCCTTTCCACATTTCCTAGCATTATTGTCATTTCCAATGAGTCATACTTTCTCGTGATGTGCCCAAAGCACAGTAGCCTCAGTTTATCTGTTTTTGTTTCTCACAAGACCTCAGGCTTGATTTGAATTAAAACCTCATTTGTTTTTATAGAGATCCATGATATCCATAAAACTCTCCTTTGACACATTTCAAAGGTATCTTTTTTTTCCTGTCAAATTTCCTCACTGTCCAGCTCTCACATCTGTACACAGCAATTTGAATGATCTTGGTCTTGGTTTCTAATGACACATCCTTATACTTAGGAATCTCTTCTAGTTCTTTCATAGCTGCTTTCCAAACTTATTTTCTTCTGATTTACTGACTGCAGTCTCCATTTGAATGGTGATTGACTCAAAGAACAGAAAAATCTGCAATTTTTGAGAATTCTTAGTGGGCAGGTGAGATCCCTAAGGTAGGCAAATGTGGTTCTCATCTTTGAAAAGGGGGGTGGGGAGAGGTTGTTGGCAGTTGACTGATCAGTGTTATACCAATACCAAGATTTTTTTCCAGAGCAGATCATAATAAAATGATCTGTGAACACCTACATGGATTTCTAAAGAACAAGTTATATCAGACTAATCTTACCTTTTTTTTCTTTTTCTTTCTTTTGTGGCAGAATCACACACTTGATAGATATGGGGAATGCTGTGGATGTAGTGTATCTTAATTTAAGCAAGGCTTTTGACAAGGTCCCCGGTGATATTCCTGTGGCTAATTTTGTAAAATGTGGCCTGGACAATACTACTGTTAAATAGATTTCTAGAACTGGTTATGGGCCATTTCCAGAATGCTTGTCAATGGTTCTCAGTTTGAGTACTGAGTTCAGTTTGGACCACCATACATAAATAAGATTATCAATAAGCTGGTACGCAGTCAGGGGAGGGTAACACAAGATAATAAAAGGTCTGTAAAACTAAGTCCTGTGAGGAATGCTTAAGGCTTCCTGATCAATGGCCATCCAACCTCTTTTTAAAAGCCTCCAGTGAAGGAGAAATCACAATCTTTTGAGTAATTCTATTATTAACAATGGAATTTAGTCAAGTTTTCAACTAAACGTTAAGAAGAACATGTGGATGGTAACGGCTATTCAACAATGGAGTGGAGTATCTCAGAAAATGGCTCACTACCGCAGGTTTTTAAGAGGGATCGGACAGCCATCTGTCAGGGATGCTTTTGTTGTAGATTTCCTGCTGTGATAAGCATTGGTCTTCATGACTCTTGGGATTCTGTCCAATGCTATAATTCTATGATTCTATGCAACAGTTCATAGGCATCCTAATCATTCAGAGGATGCACAAATCATATAGCAAGTTTCAGGTGCAAGTCTTTTACTTATAAAAATGCATTGAAAGAGAAACGTCAGGTTGAAGTTTATTTTTAACGTTCCTGGAGATATACTCTTGCAGAGCTATTCCATTTGCCAATAAATATAAAAATTTAATGACCACCAAATCAGGAGGGAAAAAAAGACATCTGGCAGGAATATATTCCAACAAACCAATAGGCTCATTAAATTTGATTACAGTAATATTCCATGATGAGGAAACAAATGCCTAATGGGCATAGTGCACTGTTACCTCTTGCAGCAATTACAACCCATTATGCACTAGCAATGAATCTATGCATGCCTCTGTGTGCATTCTTCTGAACATAAAGGTCATAGCACATTTACGTAAGGAAGAAAGTGAAATATACAGTACATTGTTATAAAGGTCACTGATGGTGTATAAATTAAATTAGTGGAAGAAATCATGAGCAGAAGTTAATGGAAGGAAAATATTTTGGCTTTTTTTTTTTTACAGACGCTGTACTGCAGAAATCAGCAACTCAAGATGCATGAGCCAAACGTAGCCCTGACCTGAGTGGCAGCTTGTTGACGGAGAGGCATCAGGGGCATATGGAGAGTGTGGTGGCTGTGTTAATAAAATTTTGAACAATCCCACTTTGCAAACATTGAACACCAACAACACTGCATCATATAACCCTTGCTCTCCTCAATGCTCCTACAGTGTGAAACTAATTATTCACCTGGACAATATCCTAACACAGAGAAGGAAACTCCTGGCCCACAGATCTAATGTCTAGTCCAACAATATCACTAGTTTTGGCCAAATTTCTATCAGCAATACTAAGAGTTCAAAAGCAAATAGTTACCCTCCTAGCAGGTTTTCGAGGGAATTGTATTAGCATTTAATTCTAATCTATTTGTTTCTTACAGTACTGGTTAATATGTATGATTCTTTGCATTCAATCTAATCTGTTGATGCTAGTAAAATCTGATTTGCTTTGGTTTTATGAATCTTACCCAAAAAGGTTATCTTTGTTGTTTGGTCGTTTAGTCATGTCCGACTCTTCGTGACCCCATGGACCAGAGCACGCTAGGCCCTTCTGTTTTCCACTGCCTCCCGGAGTTGGGCCAAATTCATGTTGGTAGCAAAAGGTTCTCTAGTTGACCCCTTTTTAGCTTTGCTCCCCCAGGAGGAAGACACAGGAGGGAACCAGGGCAGGATCCAGGAATGTTCATGGTAGGAGACTCATCTTTGCTTCTCCCATCAACCTTTGACAAAGAAAGCCAAGACTCAGTACAGTGGTGCCTCGACTTACAAACGCCCCTACTTACGAACATTTCAACTTACGAACAGCCCGGTCGCAACATTTTGCTTCGACTTGCGAGCGGTGCTTCCCCTTATGAACAGAAACAGGCAGGAAAAAAGGGCATGTAATTCAGATTTCTAACTGTAGGTGATGACGAGGCTGCTTTGTACTGTAGCTCTTTCACTTTTGGCAGTTAGAGAGTGTGTCCTCGTCCTTGCAGGCTTGGGGCTGCCTCCTTCTGCTTTGGAGTGAGCGTGCATGTGTGTCTGCAGGGAGGTAAGCTGCTGTTTTTTTTTAAAAAAACTGTTCTAGGTGGGTTTTGGCTGGGGCGGGTATGTTTCTGTGCTGTGTTGTTGGTGGCTTTGCTGTTTATTTTTGGAGTTTTTTTCTTCTTAAACATTAGCAACAGAGGTGGCTATTTTTGGAGTTTTTTTCTTCTTAAACCTTAGCAACAGATGTGGCCTTTTTGTTTATGGACTTTCTTCTTCTTCTTAAACCTCAGCAACGGAGGTGGCTTTAGTGTTTGTTTTTGGAGTTTTTATTTATCTTAAGCACCTTCCCACCAGGCTTGCTGTGTGTGTTTGTTTGTGTTTTTTGGGTGATTTTTTTTTCTTCGGCAGGGATGGATTAATCGGTTTTCAATGCCTTTCTATGGGAAATAGTGCTTCTATTTATGAACATTTCGACTTGCAAACACCATTCCAATACGGATTAAGTTCGTAAGTCGAGGCACCACTGTACGCTCCTGGCTTTTTACTCTTGGCTTTACTCTGCCCTCTTCCTCACCGCCAACCGAAAGGAAAGGTAAACTTTCTGTCTTGATCAAGTCTGGTATGCTAGTGCTACAAAGAGCTGCAAAAGATTATTAGTCTTTTGCCTGCTACCCAGCTAATGGCTGATTAACTGGTCTGCATGGAAAAGTCAATGGGAGAACAGTCAAATGCCACATACGGCTTATGTATTTTATAAGAATGAGTGGCTTGTCTTCCTTTACTTTCACACTTCATGGATTGTCACAAAGACTAGTAAAACTTAAAACATATTATCACCTTAATTGTTTGCTTCTAAACAGAAGGCGTAGCATCACCATTTCCCTGGCAAGTGGAACAGGCTTAAACAAGTAATGAACAAGGAAGGACTCTAACCAAATCCCCTTTAATTAAGTATGCAGTGTTCTGGGTCTCAACACTGCAAAACAAACTGAATGATAAGCTGGTGTTCAAAGAAAAAACATCTGTGTTCAGTTTATCCCCTGCAATGTCAGTGTAACATTCTTGTAATGTCTGTGCTACATCGAGGTTGAGCAGCAGTGCGGCAGACTGAACCATACACCTCATCCCAAGCCCCATTTCTTTTTGTCTAGCAACTTTTTAGGGATGCTATGTCATATTGACATGTTTAATAAATACAGTGCCTTCTTTCACATGTAAAACTAGCCCATTCATGTGAAAGCTAAGTTAGGATGCCTTCTCCTTGACGTGTGATTCTTCTGCTTGCTGGAATTTTACACCTAAGGAACAATGAAGCAAATCATCCTTCCCCTCTGTTTGGCTGCATCTAAAACTACAAATACATTTTTGCAAGCTTCTTCAGTAAATCTTCAAGGTGTTTTTTGAATAGACTGAGTGACACTGAAGCAGCAGGGGCAAATCTGTGAATGAAAAAACAACTGGCAGAATTTACCTCTTTTGCTCCTACCACAAACGGATCCAAGGACCATCTTGTTTATCTGTCTCACTTTCTGAGCAAGCAATGTCCAAACATCAGCTGCTTACTGCTGCTTTAAGCAACCAATACCAATCAGGAATCGGAGCTATTTGATGCTTCTGTATCCTATGCAAGTATTTTCAAGTTACTGGGGCAGCAATTAAGTATGGTGAATACCAAACAAAGCTCTGCATTGCAACTGGCAGAGGGGGAGTGTGATGAAAGTTATGGATTGAGACTCTGGGTCGGGCCATTGCAACCTTAGAAAACAAAGAACATGTTAGTATGTTACTTTGAAATCTCAGATACCATGAAGCTTTAGATTAGATGTTTTTTGTTCCAGCACAGCAACAGCCTCCCAACATTTTTTCTCTGCATCCTGAGTTCACAATATGTGAAGAGTGCAAATTATGGATGGACCTTAAGTAATAATCTACTTGCTCATAAGTAATGCAAATTCACAGTATTACTTATCACTTCCAAAAGGCCAGTGTATTTTTTTTAAAAAAGAGGTAAAATAAAGTGCACTGTTTTCTGAAATGGTCCTATAGAACCCTTCTTAAATAAACTTACAGCACAAATCATAATGTGTACAATCAATCATTGCACCACTGAACTAATAATCCAAGCAGAGATAATTATCTCTCCCTAATTATCCCAAATTCAGTTTGTATGCAAATGCATTTTCATGTTTACTGTTCAAGGATTCAGCATAACCTCCATAAATTCTGAAATGTGGCATTAAAAATAGTCTTTCACTTCAAAGTAAACTGCAGATTTTGTTTAGAAATTAGTTTCCCCGTGACAATATTACCAAGATGTATCCAGCACACAATTCAGCTCATCTTAATAAATTGTCCTTAATCTAATTTTGGTGCCCTCCATTCAGTTATAGCAATTCTTGTTCATCGTCTTCTGATCCAGAGGGTCCTTGTCGCACCTCCTCATACCATTTGTTGGTGAGGCTTTTCATTTGAATGCGTCCATGATGTAAGTCCTAAGGCAAAGAAAATTACAATTTCTTAGACAGCTGGTATAAGAGCAGGGTTTAGCGCTATGCACTCAAGCACTTGTTTACACATACAGACAAACAATGGCGGGAAGGAGACTATTTCAGGGTCACTGAGGACTCAGTAGCGCCAACAGGTATCAAGACTTTTGATCTGCTGATGGAACTGAGGAGTCTTTCCTCCCAACAAATCCAACTGCTATGAAGAGAAACACTGACACATATAATACAGTGGTTTGCAACCTTAAGATCTCAGATGTTCTTAGACTGCAACTCCCAAAAATCTTTCACCACTAGCTTGCTGGTTAGGCTTTCTGGGAGTTGTCATCCAAGAATATCTGGGGACCTAAGGTTGGGAACCACTGATTTAAGCAATTATAAGGGCCCGAGGAACCCTAATATGGGATGGCAACCTAGTAACAGAGGACAAATGTATGGCAGAGGTGCTCAATTCCTATTTTAGTTCCATCTTTTCCCATAAGAGAGATTATAAACTTCCAAACAAATTGGAAATGGAAGGGGGGAAGGAACAGGATTGCAGCTGGAGATAGATAAAGAAATAGTCAAGGAATACCATACCACCTTGAATTAGTTCAAATCTCCAGGGCTGGATGAACTGCATCCAAGAGTACTCAAGGAACTGACTAAATAACTCTCAGATAGTTCCATCTTTTCCCATAAGAGAGATTATAAACTTCCAAACAAATTGGAAATGGAAGGGGGGAAGGAACAGGATTGCAGCTGGAGATAGATAAAGAAATAGTCAAGGAATACCATACCACCTTGAATTAGTTCAAATCTCCAGGGCTGGATGAACTGCATCCAAGAGTACTCAAGGAACTGACTAAATAACTCTCAGAACTATCTATTATTTTCTTGAAATCATGGGAAATGGGTGAGGTGCCAGAGGATTGGAGGAGGGCTAATGTTGTCCCTATCTTCAAAAAGGGCAAAAAAGAGGAACCTGGGAACTACAGGCCAGTCAGCCTGACATCAATCCCAGGCAAAATACTGTAACAAATCGTAAAGCGGTCATTATGCAAGCACCTAGAAAACAATGCAGTAATAACTAGATGCCAACAAGGATTTGTCAAGAACAAATCCTGCCAAACTAATTTGATCTCATTCTTTGATCAGTTAACCTCCCTGATAGACAGAGGGAATGCTGTAGACATAATATATCTTGACTTCAGCAAAGCTTTTGACAAAATGCCCCATTATATCCTGATTAGCAAGCTAACTACGTGTGGGCTGGATAGATCAAGTGTCAGGTGGATACCCAATTGGCTACAGAATCGTACTCAGAGGGTGATGGTTAATGGGTCCTTCTCTAACTGGGAGGAGGTAACAAGTAGGGTACCACAAGGCTCAGTCCTGGGCCCAGTGCTCTTCAATATTTTTATTAATGACCTGGATGAGGCAATGCACGGAATGCTAGTCAAATTTGCAGATGATACCAAATTGGGTGGAGTAGCTAATACCCTGAAAGACAGAAACAAAATTTAAAATGACCTTGATAGATGGAGCACTGGGTCGAAAACAACAGAATGAAATTCAACAGGGAGAAGTGCAAAGTCCTGCACCTTGGGGGGGGGGGGAAATACACCAATTGCACCGTTACAAGGTGCAAGATACCCGGCTTAGCAAAACTACAAGCAAGAAGGATCTTGGAAATGTCATAGATCACAAACTAAATATGAGCCAACAGTGTGATGTGGCTACAAAAAAGGCAAATGCTATTTTAGGCTGCATTAATAGAAGTATAGTTTCCCAATCCCGTGAGATGCTATTCACCACTGGTTAGGCCTCACCTTGATTATTGTGTCCAATTCTGGACACCACACTTCAAGAAGGATGCTAACAAATTGGAACAAGTTCAGAGGAGGGGGACAAGGATGATCAGGGGGATGGAAACCAAGCCTTATGAGGAAAAGCTGAAAGAATTGGGCATGTTTAGCCTTCAGAAAAGAAAATTGAGGGGGATATGATAGCACTTTTCAAATATTTGAAAGGCTGTCATACAGAGGAGGGGCAGGGTCTGTTCTCGATCATCCCAGAGTGCAGGACATGCAACAATGGGCTCAAGTTAATGGAAGCCAGATTTCGGTTGCTTCCTAACTGTCAGAGCAGTGTGACAGTGAAACCAGTTACCTCAGGAGTTGGTGAGTGCTCCAACATTGGAGGTATTCAAGAAAAACTTAATCACCTGGCAGATATGCTTTGATTGTATTCCTGCATTGAGGATGGGGTTGGACTTGATGGCCTTGTAGGCCACTTCCAACTTCACTTTTCTATGATTCTATGAATATACGGAAAGCATTACAGCAGTATCCTGACTTATTTTCCTGCTTGTGTGGAGGAGGAACACAGTGACAGTGTACAGGTAACAGAAGATTTATTCATGCCACAGCTTATTCAACAAAGACTGAATCAACTAAATGGGGCCACTCTTATTCTTGGAAATCAACATGCTACAACTTTTCCCTAAGAATAACCCACCTCTTGTGTGAGCCGTCTTGTAAAGAAAGGATTCAAGTATTTGACATCAAACCACATAAAACCTTTGAGGTCTTGGCGCTTTATGTAGTGGGCTTCATACTCTTCCTCTGTGAGTTCAGACAAGTGTTCAGATTCAATGGTGTTCCCCTGGAGACATGAGAGAAGAAGGAAAAATTATTGACAGAATCTAAAACAATTCTTGCCTTGAATAATCATCATATGTCGTCAAGTTAATTCTGACTTACGGCAACCTTCTCCAGGGTTTCCTGGTTGAGAATACTCAACAGTGGTTTACCATTCCCTTCTTTTGGGAGTGCTCAAAGACTGTGCAACTTGCTCAAGGCTACACAGGCTGGCTCTACTCATAGGAAATATAGTGGGAAATCAAACTCCCAACCATTGGCAGCACAGTCAGATACCTAAACTACTGAGCTATCCAGCCAGCCAGTCTTATCTTCAGCAGTCCTTAATTTTCCCATTTACCTAAACTACTGAGCTATCCAGTCAGCAGTCCTTAATTTTCCCATCTGGTGACTTTATTTATTGAAACTTTTGAAGCACATTTGAGAAGACTGTCAACAATTTAATAATAATAATAACATTAACACGATCAACCATGTGAAACTTGTTTTCTTAAGGTAAGAAAATGACGAAGTGATCAACAATAATCAATGGTAAGAAATAAAAATTACAGTCAGGGTTAAAATATCAATTTGCCAATGACTGTATCCAGGATGTAAGTTCATGTCTGTTGAAGACCTCGAGCTGCTCTGTGATTTCTCATTATGATTACAGTACCAAATGTGAGGAAAAAGTGAAAAATACATATGTCTTCTGGGAACATATCAATAAAGTTATGTACACAAAAGCTGCTTGCCTTTTCTGTGATTGCAGCTCCAGTTGTTTTTCACCTGTACTGGATCTGTACTAAAAGCTTTGCATAAATGGTGGCTGAAAGACTAGGAAGTACAGTGGTGCCTCGCTTAGCAATTGCCTCGTTTAACGATGTATTCGCTTAGCGATGAGGTTTTAGGAGCGATTTTGCGCTCCGTTTAGCGATGTTTCCAATGGGAAAATTTCGCATAGCGATGTTCGGGACCTTGCTTCACTTAGCGATGACAGTTTAGGTCCCCCCGTTTCACTTAACAATGTCTGTTTTTGCTATTTTAAATGTGTCTTAAAATGTTCAAAAACTGTTTTAAATGCTTGGAATCGTTAGTGCACCCTGTAAAACCTTTGCAAACTTAATTTGGCCTTGTTCTGAGTCTTCGTTAATTTTTGGTGAATTCCCCCCCCCCATGGGAATGCACTGAACTGTAGGTTTGAAACCTATTCAATGCATTCCAATGGGGGAAACACGTTTCGTTTAGCAATGTTACCTATGGCGATTTTCGCTTAAGGACAGTAATCCATTCCCATTGGAATGGATTATCTGGTTTTCAATGCATCTCTATGGGAAAACACGTTTTGCTTAGCAATGTTTTCCCATAGCGATGTTTTTTCCGGAACCAATTAAAATTGTTATGTGAGGCACCACTGTATACATCCCATAGCAAGAGAGACTTCTTGCCCTAAGCCACAGTTAACCTGCAACACCGTTTATCTAGATCTGGACGTCACAAACATACATGGTTTTAGCTTAAAAGAGAAACAGAATGTTTCTCCTCCTCACAGCTTCACTGGAGCAAGAAAAGGACAACAACAGAGGGAGGGAAAGCTGCTGGATTGATATCAAAGCTCATGTGTGTTGTGCTAAACCAGACACAGCTTTGAGAAGTTTTCTTTTTGGACTAAAATCCCCTGAATCACCCAGCCAGCACAGCCGCAATGACTGGGGGAACCTTGTCAAACTCTGTTTTATACTGTAACTTAGTAAAATGCACGACCAAGGTTTTTGTGTGTCTTCAAGTGGTAAATATGCACAGCAAACACTCTGGCTGAATAAAGTGTGCCACTTCACTAAATTGATGTGCTGTTATTTTTCAGTGCTAAATCAATGTCCCAGTACACTGGCCTCTCCTGAAAATCTTTGTGCCTGCAAGACAGCAATTCAGGCAGGACCAACCTTTCTCCTGTGTGCTTCTGCTCTAGCAAGATAAATAGCCTTAAATAAGGCCTGGTCTTTCAGGAATGATCTCTACCTTTTTCTGAACATAGGTGTGTGTTTCCCAATTTTGAGCTGCTTGCCAATAATTTAGAGCTGTTGCTTATCACTGAAGCTCACCCTGCCCTCTCTGAGTGATGTGACTCACCATCTTCGTCTTCTTATCATCCATTTATATGTGAATCTGTCACATATAAATGGATGCCATTTGGTGCCCTTGTGTCTACATTTCAACAGGAAAGTTATTTCACTTCAATGTGGCTCACTTGTAATTAAATTGTCCATTATGTTCACTATTTGAATGCTGAATCTGGACTCTTTCCCTTTTTGGATTAAAGTATAGCTATATAGAGAACAATATTCAGGAGGGCTCACGAATCTGGCTCCCATGCTCCCTTCCCACCTTAATTCATACATAACCATAGAAGCAATCACAGAGTTGCATGAAGCAGAGCATTTATCATATTTAAGCCTGAAATAAAAGAAACTCACCATTTTTTCTGTCTTGCTGAGGTTAACATCCTTCTTATTCTTTCGCCTTGCTTTTGAGTCTTCAATATCGATCAGTCTAATTAAGGGCATGGTTCCTCCACCAAGCAATAAAATTGTGAACAGCACTATGATAATTGTTGTGGTGCCAATAAGCTGCCGTTTCTCTATTGGCTCTAAGCCCAAATGGAGACTCAAGGCATATGGGATTGCCCCACGTAAACCTAATGAACAAAGAGAAAGTATAAATGAAATCCTTTATGTTGCCACGAATCAAAGGGGGTTCCAGCCTTGCAAACATTTCCCTTTTCATTTATTGGTTATTACACCACATTAAATGTTTCCACTAAAAACAAACATTGAAGTCAGCTAAAAATTTCACTACGAACAAATTAAATAATAATAATAAACAAATAATTTGCTTGATGCTCTAAATGTTAACCTAAATTTGTAAGGAATTATGAGACCTGCTTCAAAAAACACCTCTTTCACTTTCCTCTCCTCCCTTTCTATGCCCCCTAATACCTTTTCTTTTTGTCTGTTGCTACATGTCCGTATGTGTGACTGGCATATATTCTAGCACACACTGCAGTCATGGGAATATACACAAAGTTACTGATAAATGCGAGGTGGGGGAGATTATGTGAGGTATATGTCAGAGATAATTGGCATACTTCTGCTGTGCTTTTAAAAAGTTACAAAATCTCTTTAAATATATATTTTAAAAGGTTAGGTACATGCCATGTCTCTGTTAATAGTTTCTCAGTTGTTTTTTCTCCAAAAAGGAGACCAGTGGAAGACTATAGGTGGTGTACAGATGTTGGGACATGCCCATTTTGGCCTACAGACTTGTGCCAGTATTGCATTTTTGCCCAATCGTTAATGGCCAACCTTTACTCTCCTCCTTCTGCAATTTAGGATGCACACAGTTTAGTCCAGTAACGTCTACTTTAACAGACAGTAGCTATCTGAAGTTTCCAAAACAGGAGTATTTCCCATTGGAGCTTATCTGACCATTTCTCAGGAGACAGCAGAGGTAAAACATGATACCTTCTACATGCAGAGCTTTTACTCTGTCACTGAGCTATGCACTCCTCTCCACTTTTTTTTAAGACGTGGAACCATTCTTTTTGAAAGGTGGAGAAAAATAAAATAATTGTAGCATACAAAGTTTATTAAAGTCATGAGCTCCTCAAAGGGGAAGCAGGTTTTGCTTACTCTAATTACCCTGTAAAGAGGCATATAGAATCATGGCAATGTACAAAGATATAGCAAAAAACAAACAGCATAAGCAAATAAAATACTTACCACTAAACCACATTATGAACATCATTTTGGGTGTGATTTTGTGATCGCGGAAAAAATTGAGCAGATAGGAGAGTGGGAAAATATTGACAGCTCTTCCAAAGAGCACAAGTATCTGTCAAAAACAAGCAAATTAGCTACAGGACCATAGGGAGCATTTTAAGCACATCAGAGGTGTCCCAACTGTAAACGGATTGTGAAGACACAAGTTCTCACACCCTCATCAGGTCAGCTCAAAAGAATAAGCACTGATTTTCTCTTTTATGAATCTCTGGGGCATAAGCACTGCTGTCAGTAAAACCGAGATCTATCAGATAAAAATTCTAAATGTATAAACTGAAAGTCATCAGACACTTGTTGATTAGTAATAGCTGAAGAGAAGGTGAGGGCATCCTTAAATGGCAGGGCATTAGACACTGATTGGTCTGCAGATCTTGCCACAGTAGGAAAGGCCAGTCTGTGACATTTTGCTGCTTAAAATGAAAATGCACCTTCTTATTATATATACAAATGTTTACTAGACAGATATGGGGTGGTGCAGCAATTTAGGAGTGGGTCAGGAGAGTCCATGTGACATACATTACACTGCCTTCTAACAGAAGGAATCGGCCAGCAGCTGCCACCCATATCTCTTAGCATCTGTAGTTTGAGCCGATTGCTTCACTCCACTTAACAGTATGGCAAGCTTGTCTCTAGATGCTACCAGAAGCAGTCCTCTTCAGCTAACAACTTCCAGGTAGCAAAGCAGCTAAAAGTGAAGGTCCCACTCCTGCTCGAAGGAGACTTTGTCAGGAGAAAATAGGTAACATGCTCAGAATAAAATTGAAGATTTAAATCCATAAAAAACAATAACTAAATCCTATTCCCCATGGTACCCTTCCAATGAAACAATGGCCAAACTCCTGTTGCTTAGAGTAGTAGATCATACTATTTATTTATTTATT